TAGATTAAAGAATTTCAGCCAATGAATTTCTAATTCCGGTAACACTATCAAATTTAAATTTTTATTGGTTTAAAAAATAAATTTGGTTCAGTTTCAGTTTGTATGTAAGAAATTCAGTTTGGTTTTGGTCTATAAGCCAAAAGTTCAGTTCAGTTCAGTTTATAAACCAAAGATTTTGGTTCGGTTTCAGTTTACCCATAAAACTGGTTTGAACCGAACCATTAAGAGCTTTAGCACAGATTTGAGGAATTATCAATCAAACTCATAGAAAACAAGATCTTGAGTTGATTAAAATATATATCATTCTAATTCTGCACAAAATTTGGACCAAGATGATCAAACTGATCTAATTGAATTTAATAAAGAAAGTCACAATTATGGCGAACCTGGTCATGAAGATTTAAGTGAAGATCTAAGTGAAGATGTAAGTAATAATAATAATAATAAAAATTGGGAGTCAATCATCAGGAAATTTTCCCTTCCATAATATTATGTCCAGCATAATGGACACTCATTTTGTGCAACAGTCATTTGTATAATAGGCAGGCAGTTACACAGAGCCCGTTGCTTCTGAAACTTCACTAGAATATAGCTGTAGCCTCTCTAAGTCCAGATCATCAGCAAGATCAAAATTATCTCACACTTTTATAATCAAACTTTTGCAAGAACTTTCACCATAACATATGTTATGTTGATCATTTTTTTGTGATCTGCAACAGTGTCCACTATGCTATTATGTCCACAAATTTTAATATGTAAAGTTGTAATATTTGCATAAAAAATTATGTAATATTTACACTCAATGTAATAATTGCATAGTTTTTGTATGATTTTTGCATAATATTATGGGCCTACCATAAACTTATGTAAATTCGCATCAGAAAAAATTTCCTGATGACATTATCTTTATGGAAAAGAATGTTAGAAACTGAAGATATAGCTTTTCATGAAGATGAAGAAAATGAAATGAATATAAATTATGATAGGATTAATGATGATTCTATTATTGAAATTGCAAATTCTATACATCCACAATGAGATAATAATGCAAAATGGAAATTATACAATTTGTTTATTGTAGATTTAGAACCACCATGTTATATTGGAAAATTATAAGTTTTTTTTAAATCAAATAAAACAAAATAAATATTATCAATAATAAATATTACAGTATATTGTGGACTGGACTGAACTGGCCCAGTTCAGTTGGACCAATGAATAAAAACACTGGACTTAGTCCAGTTGCCAACAGAAAATTGTACTCTCTGCAGTACACTGGACCAACACTGGCCTTAGTCCAGTGGTCCAGTCCAGTCAGTCCAATGAATAAAAAAACTGGACTTAGTCCAGTTGCCAACACTGAATAGAAACCCTAGCCGCTGCTCAAGATTATGATATTATTTAGTATTGCAATTGAGAAAACTTCTTGCAAAGAGCTTTAGAAATATTTAACCAATAATTTAATTACAATGGGCACCTTCAAAAATTATTAGATTGAGATTGAGATTGAGATTGATTTCGATCTGCATTCAAAAATTTTCATATTGAGATTGATTTCGATCTGAGATTGAGATCGAATTTTAATATGAAATTTCAATCTAGGTCAGGTAGTAAGATTGAAAAAATAAATATAAATAAAAATAAAAATAAAAAAATTTTTTTTTAAAAAAAATGGAAAATATTGAAGTACCCAAAAAACAAAGACATCAATACTAAAATCATTAGCATTGGTATTTGTAAGTTCAAGGTCCAATTCATTTCTTTGATGATTAATAAAAGAGAAAAGAGACGTAAAATTTCCATTTTTAATTAATAATTGTTGATCATCTTTGATAAAATAATTTTTGATTATGGATTGAAAATTTTAATTTCAATCCAATCTCAATCCAATCAAATATTTAATCTCAATCTCAATATAATAATTTTTGAAAGCACCCAATATAAAAGAGTTATTGGTTTATTAAGTTAAGCCAATAATTAACTAAAAAATAGGATTAATTTTAGAAGAATATCTGATAAATATCAGCACTTTCAACATTTACTAATAGGCTTTTAGACTATACATGAAGTCAAAACTATTCCAACCATTTGCAGATCTGGTCGAAATAGGGTCGAAATAAGGTTGAAACTAATTTTTACTATGTAGTTGCCTCAAGTCGAAACATTTTGATTTTGGGGTTTTAATTTTGACTTCATGTATATTTTAGACTGTATGATAAAAATACTAAATGTTTATTTAATTTCATTTGATTACGGGTTCAAGCATTGAGATAAGTCTCATTCAAATGTTTGCTTTTGGAATGGTTGATTGTGTATCCATTAAAATATTTTTCTTTTTTGAATTTTACACCAGCTGTAAAATGTTGTCAAATCATGGCATATATTACACCCGAAATTTTCAAGAAAAAATAAAATACAAACTTATCAGTATGCTAATACCTTGATTATTTTTTTAAAGAATAATCAGATTCTGATATTTATTGATACCTCATTACCAAATTTGGCACCATTTGACCAGTAAAAAGAGAACCAATAGATTATATATAAGCAAAGAAAGATGGGACCCTAAAAGAAATTTAAATCATGCATAAACATGATAGCTTGATTGACATAGTGGTGCAGTCTTGGATTCCATGCAATTTTTTTATTGTATTTCTAAATATAATTAATTATACATCTTTAATAAAACAAACATGAATTAGCTATTTAATTATTTCCTTGTATGTGAATGCCTCCATCCATCAAATATTCATGATGGTCATGATTATTATTCAATACATCATTGACATAACAAATAATTGCATCGCCCATGTAGTAATGATACTGAGGCCATGCATGAATGAAACTTTTAATAATGTGTGTCTACCCAGATCTCTGGGATTCACAAAATAAATTATTTTTCCTGATTATCAATTATGATTCCTTATGAATAATAAATCTGTCAGATTTAATAACAATTTTCTATCTCAAACATGCAATCGCGATGCAATTAAGCACAATTCAGCACCATTGAATGTTTTCCACAGGTGAAGGAGGGTTGAACATGTTGGAAGGCTTTGGGCAAACCTTTTCTTTATCTTTCCATCAGACCAGGCTGGCTGTTTCCATATTTGCATTGATCACTGACAAGAGTTGACATTTGTGTGATGATTGCTTTGTGTTATACCTCTCTAGAATAAAGTTGGCACCTGATTCAAAATTCTCCAGCTCAGAAGGTTGCAACTAAGTTTCTGGTCCGAACTGTTTTCTCAAAGCCCAAACTAGTTTGGGCAATTTGGTCTTCTCGGCATTTTTTATAAACATCAACATAAAAAAAGCTATACCAATCAACTTATTTTAACTTAAACAACTTTAAGCCCAATTTTGGCTAATAAAAAAAAATAGTTTGGGCTTATAAAAACAGTGTTGGCAAATGACTGGTCATATGACATATGACTTACATGACTTGTCATAAGTCATTTGGTCATTCATAAAGGGTATATGACTTATGACATTGCATATTTTTTGGCCTACAGTGCAGGACACCTAATCCCGCAACTTACTGCGCCACGACGACGAATTTTGGGAAAAAATTTCCAATCAAAAATGCAATAAAAATTGTTTTGTCATGTGATATTTCCTAGTCATTCCATAAATAGTAAAATCGGCAATAAGAATAAACATTGGGTTACCTAATATGGATGTGATCATCAACTAAAAATTCAAAAACTTTTATTTTGTTTCGATTTGTTCATTTTTATATATATATAAATCGCGTGTAACGCGACAGTTTTGGGCTTAACATAGTAAACTTGTGCAACTTTGAGGCTTGATCTCTCCATGGTAATGTGACATATCAACAAAATGAAATCGTAGCTTTGTGGAGAAAGGTCTTAGCTTCAAAATCATGTTTTGTTTTTTTGGTGTTACATTTCCATTTCTGGTATACTAAAGGATATACAAGACCAATAAAAAGTTGCGGGACTAGGTGTCCTGCACTATATATCAAAAGCAACCAATGCATGGTGGAAATTTGATTGATTTTATTGGTGAGTTTTAAATTTTAGAAAATCAAGGATTTATATGAA